AGAAGTTTTGGAGGAGGTGGAGGGCGTGGGTGGTGTCACGGACGTAGGTGGGGAGTTCCTGGACCAAGGGGGAGAAAATGGAGTCGAGATAAGTGGAGATGTGTTCAGTGGGGCAGGAGCAGGTGGAGACAATGGGTCAACTAGGGCAGTGTTCTTCGCAGCTTATGAAATATAATTTTTGCATAATCTTCTAAATCTCACTACAGTAGCTATATTAGAATGTGTGTCCATGGCACATTGGGCTGAGGAGGGCTGGAATGGCCCCTCCCTGCCATGGGCTGACTGCCAGCAAAGGACTGTCCAAATAATGAGCTCATTAAACTATTGGATGAACCCTGATTTTCACAAGATTCAGGTGAATGCCTCAACTGCTTAACAAAAGAAAAGGTAATTCAATGAAAGTTAAAATGCATAAAAATTGCAGCATCAACGGCAATATTCACTCTTCTATTGAAGTTATTACTCAACTCCCAATTCCCAGCATAATTTTACATTCTTTTTGAAAAATTTAGTCAATTCCATTTCAAATGTACACTTTTCAGTCCATTAGTGGAAAAAGAGAAGAGGAAAATTTTGATCAGAGGTAGTTGTTTATAGGAGGTTGTTTTTAAGAGAGCAGTAATCTTTAAGCATTTTATGGCTGTCTTAAGTTTGCCAATATTCTCCCACACTGTCAGGATGTAATACACCAAACTTCATCCTGCACTGTGTGCACAGAATGTCCTCATCTACAAATTTAGAAACTTTTGTCACTTGCGCTAGCAGAACCTACAGTTTATGACTGCACTGCACAATATTTGGAGATTCATGGACAGATTCCTGAACAATGAATACCTATACTAATTAAGTGTCGCATTCTGGTGATCAGCAATTATTCAACATTAAGGTTGCATCAATTCCACAGCAGAGGAACATGTTATTCATTTCAAAAAGTCTTTGTTTATACCTTTATGAGACTCTTCCTAGCCCTCCCAAATTATCAGCATATCTTTCTATTCCTTCTCCTTTGTAGGTTTATTCAACTACTCTTTAAATACAATTATACTATTTACTTCAGCTACTCTTTGTAGTAGTGATGTAAGATTTTGAGTTTGACTGCACAGAAATCTAAAATAGGCAGTTGAGTACACTAAGTAAATTCAGATTGTTTACTAAGAAGCAACAGATTAAATATGATGCATAAGCTAAATAGACAGGAAAGAATATCAGCCATGACATTTGGGAATTGTTTCATCGATACCAGGGATGAACAAACAGTTGACAGAGAGACTGTTGATTTGAGATGGAAACATTTTGCTCTGTGGATGAAGTGTTAGGGAACCCTTCCTTCATTCTGCTTGCTTCATTTTCCATCTTATGAACGTGGCTAAATAAAAACGGAAAGAACTGCGGATGCTGTAAATCAGGAACTAAAACAAAGTTCCTGGAAAAGCTCAACAGGTGTGGCAGCATCTGTGAAGGTAAAAACAGAGTTAACGTTTCCGGTCCAGTGACCCTTCCTCAGAACAGTGACCCTCTGAGAAAGGGTCACCGGACCCAAAACCTTAACTGTTTTTTCCTTCACTGATGCTGCCAGACCTGCTGAGCTTCTCCAGCAATTTTGTTTTTGTTATGAAAGTGGCTGCCTGACAAACAGTGACCCATGTCACTGAGCACTCATTAATATACTTTATTTCAAGGGGTTAGTAGTTTACCCTATGCCAATTACTTGTTTTGAACCTTTCTGAACAATGAATATAGGTCAGGTACCCAAGGTATTATGATGGTCATCTCCCTACAAGTCATCCATCACTTTGTCCAAAGTCTACTTTTTAGTTTACCTCATGCTGAAGATCATTTGTTAGCTTTTATTAAATGCTCACATAGATAAAAGGGCACACAGAGCATCATTTTACTGACTGAGGAAAGGCAACATGGAAGCATGAACCAAGAGACCTCGACATTCGTAGGGTCTGTTTATGTGGTTTACCAGAGAAATAAAGAAAATAGTTTTTCTACTGAGGGTGATGTATAGTACATATATAAATTCCACATGAATTCTTACACTTATTATTCATTTATTAATGATTCATTTTCTTACAGAGTTCCATATTCTCACTACTGTTTGGGATATAATATTGCTCCCAAATTCCCTATTAGCTTTATTAGTGACCATCTTATTTTTATGAGCCCCTAATTCTGCTCCACACCACAAATGGAAATCTATAAACATTGCTATTGAGTTCCTTTCATATATTTCAAATACCTCCATCAGGTCACCCTTCAATCTTTTCTTTTCTAGAGGAAGCATCCCAAGTCTGTTCAGTTTCTGCTGGGACTTATAGCCCCTCAATTTCTGGATTATTCTTGTTACTCCTTTTTTGCATCTTCTGTAGTACCTCAATTCTCTTTTTTATAATATGGAGATAGGAAATATTCATGGTAACTCCTAGCGTACCAAGGATTGAGATATTTTTGATAGAATTCCTCAGATGTTGAGTCAAATCCCATATATCTGCATGCTGACTTCTCAGTGTTGTCCAGGTTATGATGTTTTTGTGAAAACAATGGAAAAGAATGGCTGGATTAAACTCTTCCTGCTGAAAGGTTTGAAGGCAGGAACATGCCCAGTTGTCTTTGGCACACTGCAATGGAATTTGGAGCTAAGGGAGACTGATAGTTGCAACCAAGCAGTATAGTGAGGGGGAGGGGAGTGGTGATTAAGGTGTCCAGTAGGACAGCCAGAGGAGGCAGCCAGCTGCAAAGGGAGCAACCAGCAAACAGAGAGAGAGGCAACAACAAGTTGGATGCATTACTTCCATATCTGTTTCCAGTTTCAGTTCCGTATGTGGACACACAATGATGATGTCAATAGCACCGACTTCCTGTTCAAGCATAATAGTAGGATGTATGATATTTAACTAAAGACATTGAAATCAGTCAATTGTGTTGGGTGTCAAGAAACTTGCATCTCCTGTTTTAATTTAGAATGAGAATTTAAATGAGAACAAGAATGAATAAGAATTTGCAAATATTGGACATTAAAGGTTTGAATCCAGTTTGAGAAGACAATGGAGTTAGACTCAGAAGTACGTAAATGAACATACCTACTTGGCAAGCAGAAGAAAGGGAGGAAAAAAATATGGCTTGGTAACAGCAAAAAGTGGGAATCTCGCTCTCTCTGTTCATCTCAAAAATGGTACAAAGTCAAAAAACAAACTGGAGAAATGACCAATCACCAAGAACTCAAAGGTATTCACAGATTTCACACTGCTGACGATACAAGTTAACCATTACACAATTATGATCTCGGGTTAAAATCTGACACCTCAAAGAAACTTATTACATAAAACGGTGCGGATTTTTTTTCCTGTTTATACCAGACACTCCTTTTTTAAACTATACACCTGTATTTGTATGGGATGTGGACTTCACTGGTTAGATCATCATTTATTGTTCATGCCTAATTACCCAGCAGAAGGTGAACTGTTCCAATCCTAGGGTCAACAAAAGTACTATTGGAAAATAGTTCCAGGATTTTGACCCAGCAATAGTGAAGGAATGAAGATTTTGGGCTGAATCTTACGCTTTTTGCCAAAGTGTTAATTTCATGAATGGTTTCTCTCAGCAAGACCTAGTAAGTTTCTAACCAAATTAGCTATCTATCTTGTCCCTGTGTCTTCCCTCTTGTTTAATTGTAGGACTATTCTACCACTTGACATACTCACCACTGCTGACATATCTTATTATGGACTGTAACCCTGCTACCGGTGCCGTGTTTAAAAGGCTATTGTGTACCCGGATGAGAACTGTCAGTCTGGAGCTGTCCTGCACAGTTCCTGACATTTTCACTGGACATGGCAGACAAGGGAACATATGCATTCTGCTTTGTGTACAGAGATCTGGATGCCTTGGTGAATAGAATGACAGAGGATGGGCGTCTTCTTCCCTAGATCAGCAAAGATGGCCGCAATACCAGACCATGACAGTGTATTCTGAGGTTACCATGCAAGTCAGTGCAGTCTCAGCTGTCTGGAGGAATGCCCAGCAATGTAGACGGGTCAATAACCACCCCACGACCTTCACCAACATAAGCGCCATCATCTTCTCTTCAATACCTCACTCTATTTCCGGCAGTGTACCCACCTCTTATAAAGACCCAGCTCCACCACACTTACTACTAGCTGCAAAATCTTCCCTAACTCACTGTCATCCACCCCAACTCCCACCAGCACTACTCCTGCATACCACTTGACATACCCAGAACAAATCACCTGCCTACTGTCCTGATGAGGAGTTTCAGCCCTTCCTGCTCCTCGGATGCTATCTGACCTGCCGTGCTTTTCCAGCCTCACACCTATAGGTTCTATATTTTCTTTATTAATTTGCAGGACGAGGGTGCCGCTGGCTAGGCAGCATTTATTGCCCATCCCTAATTGCCCAGAGGGCAGTTATGAGTCAACCACATTGCTGTGGGTCCGGAGTCACATGTAGGCCAGACCAGGTAAGGATGGCAGTTTCCTTCCCTAAAGGATATTAGTGAACCAGATCCCAGAATCGGTAATAGATTCATGGTCATCATTAGACTCTTAATTCCAGAAATTCATTGAATTCAAATTCCACCATCTGCCGTGGCAGTATTCAAACACAGGTCCCCAGGACATTACCTGGGTTTCTAGATTAACAGTCCAGCAATAATACTACTAGGCCATTGCCTCCTTTGGCTTTCAGCATCTGCAGCCCTTAACTCCATACCCACTGCATTGCCTACTCACTCACTCAGGGCATCTCCCTATCTGCACCAAATGTAATGGTTGTGCCTATCAATTTCATCTTCCTTAATACGTGACTCTCTCTCATTCCAGGAGGAAGAAGACTCAAAATAGGACAGAAAGAGTCAAGACATGTGGTGGGCTGCCTGACATTCAGCTTCTCTCCCCTTATAAGAGAGAATCTGGACTGTGACCACCCCAAGCACTCACTGGATTCAAGCGATCATAACAACTTGAGCACAATTTATTTTGAACCAGTTAATCATGTGCATTTTGAAATGTGAGACTTGATCTTCTGTTAAATAGTAAAGCAGTTGTATTGGCTGTGATCAGAGTTCATTTTGTTTCTTTTACTTATCAATATTTGGTTGACTGCTTGTTAATTGTTAACTCCCAAACTGCTTTTGAATGTTTTACTCAACTAGCTGAATTTTGCTGGTACTTGTCAATGTAATAATTATTGTTTGATTTGCAATCTGCCCTTGACCCATACAAAATGACTGGGCATGTCCATGACATAAGCCCAGTGTGATTATTTTAACTATGAAAGTGTGAATAATTTAACTACTATTCTGTTTGCCATTTACTACATCTCAAATTATTTTTCTTAATTTACTCAGCTGAAGGATTTCAGAAAATGAACAGCAATCTACGAGGAGTGAAACAAAACACTTTATCCCAGAGATACTTCTGTGAAAAGAAGTTCAAAGAAAGAGAGAAATGGAGTAACAAAGTGGAATTCATCCTGTCAGTTGTGGGAGGAATAATTGGACTGGGCAACATTTGGAGGTTCCCTTATCTCTGTTACAAGAATGGAGGAGGTAGGTGATGAAAAGAAAAATGAAAAAAAGGATGTTGCGGCAAGGTACATAATGCAACAGTAAAGTTGTAATGTTGAATCCAACGAAAACCTTAGTAAGAGCACAAGTGGAATACCATATCTGGTCTTGAGCTCTACTCAATTGGAAGAATTTTGAAGCTGTAGATAATGTATAATGCAAGTTCACTGGGATGCTCCCTCAGATATGAAAGTACTAATAGAAAGGCAGACTTGAGAAATTAGGCCTTTCTCACTCAAACAGAGGAGTAATCTGTTCTGAGGGACGGTAACTCAACCTGAAATGTTAGCTCTGATTTCTCTCCACAGATGCTGCCAGACCTACTGGGCTTTTCCAGCAATTTCTGTTTTTGTTTCTGATTTATAGCATCTGCAGTTCTTTCAGTTTTTATTGAGGAGTATTTGGTATTTGTGTTAGAAATATGAATGGATGAGACCAAATAAAGAGGAATAGAAGATGAAGACATCAGATTAAATGTAAGAGATTTGGAACAGAAATAGACAAATCATATTAGATTGAAGGTTATGAGACTGAGGAATGCACCAGTGGATTTTGTGACTGAAGCAAAGCTCAAGTCAGCAAGTAAGAATAGGTTAGACAGATGGTCAAAAGAAAGGTGCAATAAGGGCATATAGGAACAAAATAAGTGCATGGGATGGGGTGACTATGAAAAATTAAACACCAATTTATATGACTTACTTCCATCCTCTAATTTCCAAGTAATTCCATGCAATGATCATTTTTAATTTTTTTTTGTGTGACTGGATCGTTTCAGGTTTCTTTTGCCACATTCACAAGGTAGCTGCTGTTTTTGGCATCAAAATGCTGTATTCAAAAGGGTTGCTCAATTTATATCTCTTCTAATAGAAGGACATAAACAGAGAGAGCATCATCCAGTTCCATAGCCTGACAAGGTCCCACAGGTCCAAGAAATAACATAACAAATAACTGAATTTTTGAATAATAAAGACCTTCATTCTATGAATATTCAGTCTGTGTGCAGTACTAAGCATCTTAACTTGCACACAAGAATCAGACATTCATGTATTCAAAAGACTAACCTTACAATTATTCATCAACATGACTGATTATGACCAGGACTATTCCTATAGCTATGGCTGGTACTTTTGCGAAGCTTCACTAGACAGTTGAAGATATTAATAATAATAAAGCTCATATCCATATTACAGCAGTGACTACACTTCAAAGTTCTTCATTAGGCACATAGCTCATTGCCTTGAGGTCATAACAGGTGCTATATAAATGTAAATCTTTCATTACAATAATATAAAGAGGAAACATGGTAGAGCAGATTATTAGAAATCTCTGGTCCCAAGACTTCAAGTATCTGTTCAAATCTGCTGGAGTCCGACAAAAGAAACATTGTAGGATTCTCAAACTCAAAGTAGCTGTAAGTTCTACATAATATTTGAGTGAAAAATGGCTTTTTGCTTGCAAAGTTGCAGGCAATGGTGAAGACCTGATGAAAGAACATCATTCCCCTTAGAATGAAGAGGATAGAAGTACTCAGCTGGTCAGGCACCGCCTTTAAAAGGAGAAACAAAGTTCATATTTCAGGAAGACATTTCATCTTAACAGGATGAGGTGAAATGAAAGTGGGAGAGTGGGGAGAAAATAATAAAACAGAATATCTATGAAAACGTGAAGGATGGAGAGATTAAATGACAAATGTTTTCATGGAGCAGGGCCAATGGGAATGGAAATAGGACAAGTAAAATCCTCTCAATATTGAGTTCATCCATTTTAGCGGGAGAAATTGCTTACCTGGTTGGATCCTGGGGTTTGCTGAGCACCTATCTAAGAATTAGGATAAATGAAGGAGAAACTGCTTGGGTTTCAAGGAGACAACTCAATTAACTTGGTGAACTCCAAGTGGCCCTGCATTTTGAAAGAGAATAATGATTGGATTAGAAGATCAATATAAATTAGGGGCTTTTGTCTGATTTACTTTGACAGTATTTGATGAAGTAGTCTTTTTTTCCTGAAATGATTATTTCAGTCAAGGTGCACTTGGTTTTAGACATTTTATACCAATGTATTTGAAATTTCCTCTTAACTGTAAAACATTGGTAATTTTTAACAATGCATGACTAGTGGATTGTTCAGGGTATTGAATGAGTGTCTGTTCATTACTGAGTAACATTGTGGAATTTATTTCTTCTTTTTCAGTCTCTTAACTTTTTTCATCTGGAACAGTGGCAATGCAGTCTTTGTGACCCTAGACCTCTGATTTGAATGCATAGTTATTAGAAAGTTCAGAGAGACTACATTTTATAAATTTCATTTTACTCATTTTGAAGCTTCCTTATTTATAACAGGACCAGCTTGACATTAAATGTACTGGTTTTCCTGCAGATTGAGAGAGAAACATTACAATTCAATATAGCACAGGATCAGGCTCTTTGGCCCACCGAGCCTACGTTGATTCAAATCCTTATTCAAACCTGTTACTTATTGTCACTGCGCAGTTTCAATCCCTCTGCTCACCTCCTGTTCATGTGTCTATCAAGATGCGCCTTAAACTAACATTCCATCTTCCAACAGCTCCACTGGCAATGCATTCCTGGCACCCACCACCCTCTGTCTGAAAAACTGTCCCTGCACTTCTCCCCTAAACTTTCTCTGTCTTACCTTGAACCTGTGCCACCACTATTAGTAACTTTACTAGATATTACAACATTATTCGATCTGGGATCAACCATATAAATATATCATGTCATTATTAAATTTATTGCAACTAATATTTTTTAATTGCACTCTACTTTTTAAATTAGTGAATTAAATATGATTGAAATGATTTTTTTACTGGGGTTTTATACATTTTTTTGGAAAATTTGTCCAGTTCAGATTTGAATTATTTATAACCCCATCTTTGTTATTCTTTCATCATCTCTGGATCAAAGTCGTGGAGCACTCCGTCTTACAGGTACTGCTGGAGAATGTTCATTACTTGGACTTTTCTGGGTTACAAAAAGTCACTGTTGTAGATACTTTCTAACTAATTTTTTCAATGTAGTTCCCCTTGGTTGCTTAAGATTCTTCAGTAATCATTGTGACTTAAGTAATGGTCACAACAATAAGTGAATTGAAATTAAAAAAACATAAAAGTCATTCTTGTGAAGCATGTGGAAACGGGGTGCTCTTCAACCAAAACAAATGCAAAGGACAAAGTGAGAATGAGATAGGGAAAGCAAATGAGAAAGTACAGGGACCCTAGCATTGCACGTACACAAAAAAATGAAAGTGGTCAAAACAATCACCTAATCTACGTTTGATGCTTCCGGTGTTGTACAGACCACATGGTGAGCAAAAAAATCCAAGACTGGGAAAAGAACATAAATTTCAATTTAACATAAATAAAGACTGGGTAAAGCTGAGGGCTGAGGACTGGTTGCCTGATGAATGTGTTTTTGGCTGGAGCCAACGTAAAATATAATAAATAGATAGCAGCACTAGCTAGTCGATTTTAGCTCTGCTGGGATCGCATAAGTTTGTGGCCAAGCAGATGGACTGAGAGCTCTTAAGTCATGGCTTCCTTCTGTTGAGGGGCAGAAGTCCAGTCTTCAACTTGTTTAAGCCATGGGAGCATGTATTGCTGCAGGGCATCCTGTTTTAAAGCCAGTGGGTGTATAATAGATAGAAAGGATAAAGGGATGAAGGAATCAATATGGCCCTCAGTAAAATTCAGCCCTTAGAGTATTTTGGACTCTGGACAGTGGTGTGTGGAAAGAGTTGAATGAACAGTCCTGTACCTGCTCTTCACACGTAGGGAGGTACATGGAGTTAGTCATGAATGAATAAACCAAAGTGTCACCGACTCAGTAGTCTATTCAGAGTGTTGAGAAAGAAAGGGTGCATGATGTGGTTAATGTTGGAATCATGTTAGAGGTAACAGAAGTAGAAAATAGTTGTTAAACATGAAGCCTGGTGGGATGGAAGACAAGATTAAAGGAGTTCATATGATGGTTATGAAAGGAGATGAAGGGACAGAATTTGGAAGACTTACAGTCATAGAGTCATTCAGCACAGAAACAAATCTTTCACTCCAACTCATCCATGCTAACCAGTCATCCCAATCCGATCTAGTTCTATTTGCCAACATTTGACCCATATGCCTTTAAACCCTTTCTATTCATGCACCTATCTAGATGTCTTTTAAATGTTGTAATTGCACCCTTCTCCAACGCTTCATCTGTCAGCTCATTCCATACACACACCACACTCTGCATGAAAAAATTACCCCTCAGGTCCTTTTTATATCTTTCCCCTCTGTTATGGCCCAGATTAGAATCCCTCAAAATATATGAATAAGATATCCTGGACCCTAATTTTTTTTTTAAAGATAAGTGCCAGGTGTTGCTTTCCTGACACAACTTAATTGGTCAAACTACCAGCCCTAAAGCAAAACACACTTTATTCATATACTATAGCTAAAATACTACAAAGGAAAGAAGAAATTGGAATAACTTAACTCTATAGGAAAATGTAATTGAATAATAGATTACTTCACGACCAAACAGTAACTGTTCCAATATAGGAACATCCCACAAACACAACCTTGGCAAAGGAAAATGATATAAAATAGTTTGTCTCACAGGCAATTCTCCAGTCCTGGAGGAAAACATCAAGCGAAAACTCTGAGAGGGAGAGTAGCAAGGAGAGATGTACCGTAGCTTCCAAACGCAGCTTCAAGACTCCAGCAACTGGGACTGAACAGTGAAACTAAAAATCCCAGCTCTGGGGGAGCTTGACCCCACCAATTCAAGTTGCTTCTATTGTTCCACTTTTAGAGAAAAACCCCAAAGCCTCACCAGCTGTCTACTTTCTGGGCTTGAAGCAGGCTGATTGGCACTTCTGTCTCAACCTTTCGTCATAAAAAAAGGACAAAATATGCTGCTAAAAGCCATAATATCATCACAACTCTCACCTTAAACCTATGCCCTCAAGTTTTGACTCTCCTA